GAAATAGAAGAAAATAGAACAGGGAGGACCAGAGATCTCTTCAAGAAAATTAGAGGTATGAAGGGAACATTTCATGCAAAGATGGGCATGATAAAGGACCAAAATGGCAGGGACCTAACAGAGACAGAAGAGATTAAGAAGAGGTGGCAAGATTACACAGAGGAACTATAGAAGGAAGAGCTTAACGTCCCTGATAAGCACGATGGGGCGGTCACTGTCCTTGATCCAGACATTCTGGAATGTGAAGTCAAATGGGCCTTAGGAAGTCTGAGCAACAAAGCTAGTGGAGGTGACAGTATTCCAGTTGAGCTATTCAAAATCCTAAAAGACGATGCAGTAAAAGTGCTACACTCAATATGCCAGCAAATTTGGAAAACTCAACAGAGGCCACAGGATTGGAAAAGGTCAGTTTGCATTCCAATCCCAAAGAAGGGCCATGCCAAAGAATGTTCAAACTACCGCACCATTGCACTCATTTCACATGCTAGCAAAGTTATGCTCAAAATCCTACAAGCTAGGCTCCAGCAGTATGTGGACCGAGAACTACCAGAAGTACAGGCAGAATTTTGAAGAGGAACTAGAGATCAAATTGCCAACATACGCTGGATCATAGAGAAAGCTAGGGAGTTCCCGAAAAACATCTGCTTCATTGACTATACAAAGGCCTTTGATTGTGTGGATCACAACAAATTGTGGCAAGTTCTTAAAGAGATGGGAGTACCAGACCATCCTATTTGTCTCTTGAGAAACCTATATGCGGGTCAAGAAGCAACAGTGAGAACTGGATATAGAACTACTGATTGGTTCAACATTGAGAAAGGAGTTCGGCAAGGCTGTATACTGTCGCCCTGCCTATTTAACTTGTATGCAGAGCACATCATGAGAAAGGCGGGGCTAGATGAATCACCAGTTGGAATTAAGATTGCTGGGAGAAATATCAACAACCTCAGATATGCAGATGATACCACTCTCATGCCAGAAAGTGAAGAGGAACTAAGAGCCTCTTGATGCGGGTGAAGGAGGAAGAGCGCAAAAGTTGGCTTGAAACTCAACATTAAGAAAACTAGGATTGAGGCCTTTGAATTGTGGTGCTGGAGGAGACTCCTGAGAGTCCCTTGGACTGCAAGGCTATCAAACAGGTCAGTCCTAGAGAAGATCTACCTTGACTGCTCTTTCAAAGGCCAGACACTGAAGATGAAACTCAAATACTTTGGCCACCTAATTTGAAGGAAGGACTCCCTGGAGAAGAGCCTAATGCTGGGAACAATTGACGGCAAAAGAAGAAGGGGACAGCTGAGGATGAGGTGGCTAGATGGAGTCACTGAGGCAGTTGGTATGAGCTTAAGTGGACTCTGGGGGATGGTGGAGGACAGGAGGGCCTGGAGGAATGTTGCCCATGGGGTCGCGCTGGGTCGGACAGGACTTGGCAGCTAACAACAACAAAGCAGAGGACAGCCAGGCTCACATGATCACTGCACCCCAGTGTGTCTTAAGTAAGCAACAGGTCATTCCAGTGCAAGTCCTGATCTGGAATCAGTTCCTCAATAAAAGCACAGCAGAACCTATTGATTCCAAGGGAAAGACTGAGGGGCGCAAACCACTTTCTATTTTTAAAATCCTACACCATCATCACCTCAGTATCCTGATGGTTACTTACAAGGAAAACTGCAGTATAAATGAACATAAGAATGAAATAAAACAGTTAACCAATAAAAATAGAAAAACACAACCCTGTGGCTTAAATATGTAAAAATCTGGGAAAATAAATTTTCCAGAGTTGGTTTGAAAGGAAGCCCAGAAAACATCACGCTCCATCAGTCCATCCTGGAGTTCTTTGGTGCTAGATGTACATGACAAATACAAATGTGAAAAAGGAAAACACACAATTCTCTACAAATATTTTAAAATTTTTATTCATTTATATACATATCCTATAGGAATGGATAACAGCCATGGCAACCAGGGAATGCAACCATGGAATTTGTACAAGTACCTGTCTTTGCAGGATTTTAATAACTAAAAAAAATATTTTGAGAAACAATAAATAAAATGTTAGTGGAAACAGTAACTATCCCACATTTCTTACAATTTTGCATGTGAGCCACCCCGAGGCTTTGTTGCAATGGGGGCGGCATAGAAATGTTTTAAATAAATAAATATTTAGCATATTTTACTGAACTTGCTTGAGCATGTCATTCCCTTTGCTTTTCTACTCCACCTAAAGTGCAAGTAAACTGATATTTAGAATGGCTACATGAGTATTACTTAATTCTATTGCATCAGCTGAACTTCACTTTGGCTTGTCAAAAAAAAGTAAATAAATCTTCAAGAATTAAATGTTATATAAAAATTACAATCTAGATCTTGCACTTCCTGTAGCTTAAAAAAAATCTAAAGAGTTTGGTGGCACATATTACCGTGTTAACCCCCAGCACTGCTATCAGGCTTGGAAAGCCTCAAAGGACTGCCTTTTCTAAACGAAAGAGTGGTGGGTATAACCTGGCCCATAACATGCAGCTCCCACAAGGCAGGATCTTGTAATGAGCAAATAAAATGTAAAAACACATGTAATAAACGGTAAGATAAAACTTGCTGGCATACTGTTGATTTTTTTTCCTCATTGAAGTGGGCAGACTAGTGCCTAGTGGGCCAGCACACTGGACAGCCAAGGAGGCAGAGATCTGAGTAAGGCTAAGTAAACAGTCTGGCAGGGGGAGGGGGAGGCAGGCGGTGGGTTCCGGGATGGGCCAGTTGCTGGCAAGTGAGCAGAAAGCATCTTGCCAGGGAATTGTACTACCATATCGGACTTTTTCCCCTCTGGAAGGTACAGGTCTGAGAGGCAGGTAGGCAGTCTCCCACATCCTAATGCTGCCTGACCCAAAAGTCCCCTTCTCTCATGACCATGCTCACTGAGCTCCACGAAGTCTTCAGGCACAATCTTATGGGGTGGCCCCTGACAAGTGGAAGAGATCCTTTTCAACCAGAGAATGCAGCCCATGTCACTTCTCTGAGGTGGTTTCTCAGTAACTGTATTATAAGCAAGCTTTATAGTCCTCTAAGTCCTCAACCTCACCTCCCGCAACTAGATTCTCCTAAAATAAAACCAACCTAGCTTACAGTCACAGTATTTTTAATACCTGCTACCCATTGTTTGGGACTAGAAATGTTACTGTCTGGTCACAGCTGTACTATTTTTTTTTTTTTTTTAGATTTCCCAATGGTTTTCTTTGGGCAATTTTATATTCCAGAGGCAGACTAAAAACAGACAGCCCCACCTCTAAATTCAAAATAACCCAAGTGGTTAATCTAAATGTGACTTTCCTCCTTGAATGAAGACACTGAGATGCTCATTTCTCACAAAACAATGGGACAATGTCTGAACATCTTAGCATTTTGTCTCATCACATTTTTACAAGAACTAGAGATGTGCATTCTTATTTTAGAAGTTTTTCTTTTTTAAAAGGAAGAAAGTAGAACTAGCTGGTGTTGGTGGGCCAGTGAGCCCTTAGTTCATAGTTAATCTAAGACCTTTTTATTTCCCCAGACTATATAGACTTTTCATTTAAAAATGAAGTATTTTTAGTCCTTTGCACTGCTGCTGGCATTTGCTTTGCTTTTGTTCTGTTTTAAACTCTTATATATTCTTGCATTATTACGTTGTGTGCTACATACTTGCATTCTATTTTGTTATTCAGTTTTATGAACCACTCAGAGAGCTTCAGCTATTGGGTGATATACAAATGTAAATAATGGTAGTTGTAATAAACAACAACAACAACCAGATTGTAATAGGCATCCAAAAGGTAAAATGGAAGTTTTTTTATTTATTGGAATCCTTTCAGTAAATCCACACACAGATATTATGCATCAGTAGGTAATGGACATGGGCACACCAGGGCTGTTGTTGGGTTTGGTCTTCTGCTTTTTTTTTAGCTTTCTTTTCAGACTCTCCATGCATAGAACCTCAAAATCACCTAACTCCATATTAGTTTAAAATGCAGATTTGTGGCTCGAAGGGAAGGTATCTTGAAGAGAAATGGCTATGCCCCCACCACTCACTGCAAGTTTCCTTTCAGCTGCTCTCACACTGTTCCCACTCCTTGGAAGGAGCACAACCTGTATTAATCCTAAAGCAGCTTTCATAACAATGATAAAAGCAGCATTTTACAGAGACCAGCTCAAAATGAAAAACCAGTGTTTTACAGAGACCAGCTCAAAATGTAAAACAACATGGATTTGGATTGAGACATGACCTTTGTGGAAGGGTTCCTTTCTCTCTTTGAAGGGCCGAATGATCTAGCACAAACTTCCACTGAGAAATAAGGATAGGAGAGATTTCTGCAGACCTCTCCATCTGGAAGCTCTCCACACCACTTCCCATACTGTTCTAATAGTCCTGCATCCCACACTCCAGATCAGTTTTCCAGCTGGAAGGAGGCGGCAATAGAAATCAAGACACACCCTTCAGCAGGAATATCCTGTGAGCAGAATTCTACTCACAAGATGCCTGTATATTTACTTGGGAAAATCTCTATTTGGCTTACTATTCCAATAGTTCCAGTAACTATATTTGCAGGAAAATTGCACTGTTTGGGGGTGTGTAGCTAAAAGACTAGAAGAAATGCAATGATACAATGTTTAGAAGTGGTGTTGCTTGCTTTTGAACCTAAAAAGCCATTTAAGTTGTGTGTGTTGGGGGGAGGGGGGCAACCATTAGGTAAACTCACTAACAAGGACTAACATTTTCCTCTTAGACATGGATTGGCAGATAAGACCATGTATTGGATGGACAGAAATATTCAACAACAGTTGGACTTCAGTTGCTATTAAGTTCACCACAAGAACTTTGGCACCTCAGTGTTAGGTATGGTTATGCCTCTTTGCTTGCCCCTTCTGCTAAGAGGTGAGCATTATGTTCTAAGAAGTGGTACTACTTTAGCACACTTATACTGTGACACAGAAAGACAAACAGAAACAATAAGAACTCGGTCATTTTCTGGCTAGAGAGCTGCATGGAACTTCATATGAAAGCGGAACTCTTCTGCCTCTTGGAATATTTTACCACACAGTGTACAGGTGCGACCTTTCTCTTTAGTACTGTGTGTGCGCCGTACGTGACTGTCATGGGCAGCATGTGAGGCAAACGCTTTACCACAGTGTTTACATTTAAAGGGTTTCTCTCCTGAATGCTGGCGAATGTGTGTGCGCAGGATGCTGGAAGCGGTGAATGCCTGTGGAGATTGAGGGATGGGGTGGGGAGAACAGTAAAAGAACAGTCAGACTCTAGTGCTTAGAAACAAAAGCCCAGCTTGGATAACCCCACAGGAAAAGAAAGATTAGATACAAGTTAATAAGTAGTCAGCCCACTTCCCTATAGGAGAGATTCTGGATTTTAGTTCATAGAAAGCACTCATGCTTGCACACACAAACACAATTTTAAGACAAAAAGAACTGCTTAATTACAATGTGTTATTAAGCTGTGGAATGAACATCCACAGAAAGCTATCATAGTCATGAAGATTAGACAAATCAGCAAACAAATATGTATTTCCCTGATTCTCATCTAAAGAAGATATAAGAGGACCTTCGATGTTCAGAGCAAGCAAGGTGGGGAACCACATGAGAATCCCAGATTTCAGCCTAGCTGTCATCTTCATGTAAGCTCCTCTGCAAGTCACAAATCTCACAGGCAATCTACTTCAAGGTTGTAGTGAAATTTAAAGAAAAAGCCCTTGGGTCACTGCAATAAGCTCCCCAGAGGAAGTTCCACATATAACCATGACAACTTGATTGTTGGGTCATAAAACTGTCAGTGGATGGGCTCCATCATATTTTGTTATACAACTGCCTGTTCAGGTGGAAGGTATATATGGGGCCAAGCTGTGAAAAACCAGGCCACTCTCTTCCTTCACAACTTTCAAATGTACTATCTGCCACCTGTGTAACTCTACTTCTAAGCCAGACTTCTCTCAGTTCCAAATCTAATACCTCCATATGATACAGACTTATTTTTCAACACATTCCCCTACCCATCTAGCCAGATACCACTTGCTAAAGGAGAACATCAGGGAAAACCTTTGTTTTACCAAACAAGTTTCTCTCCAAAAGTTCAACAACCTTCAGAACTATTCCACATGCAATAGTTCTGTTGGGTTTGCAAGAACAGACACAATGATGTAAGTTTAGCAGACTATGCAGGGATACTCAATTTTTCATGCAGCAATATCAGGTTTACACAAAGCTCAGTCACATCAGAGTACTTTACTTCCAAGTTCGCACACCTAGAGTTACAGCCAATCATATAAATCATATAAGTACGGAGCAGCATGGAAGATCTAGGCAAGAAATCTTTCTTGCAACTGCAGGCACTTTGAATTTGCTCAAAACTCTGTGCGTATGGGTGAACTTGCACATATGCATAGCTGAGAGGTACTTTCTTTGCCATGGGAAGGCAAAGAGCAGCTCAGGTGCAGTTCTGATTGGGAAAGAATGATATACACACTTGCTCCACACTGCTGATTTGAACAGATTCGGAATCATCCACCTCCTCACATACAGCTATAACAAAACAGTCTGAATGCTGGGAGACACTCCATGCATCTTCTGTATCATGTCTAGTATGGACAGGACTCAACAACAAACACAGTGGGTTGTACCCAGCCTTAACCATCCACCACTGGAACAGAAACTATGGGACAAATAATTTCTCACTCTCCCTGCTGCCCCCCACGAAACAATGCTGCTATAGAAGGTTCAGATATACTCAGTGGATCTGGGAGGCTCGCAAGGGCTACAGGGGAAAGAGAACAGAGGAAAGTGCACTTGTGAATTACACTGAACATACCACAACAGCATGGCATCCTAAGTCACTGATTCTTGCCAAGAAAACCTCAAGGAGCACTTCTGTTCTCACCTTGTTGCAGTAGACACACTTGTAAGGCCTTTCCCCAGAGTGCACCCGCATATGCTTATTCAGACTGGATGACTGAGAGAAACTTTTCCCACATACAGAGCACTGAAATGAGAAAAACCAGAATAGCAGTGACATCTGCAGAACATTCAAGAGACACACACACATTGTAGTAAGAGAACGAAAAAAACAACAACAAAGATATCTCTTGTAAGAACACTTTCCACAGGACAAAGGAATATGTACACTTTAACTTATTCAGATTAGACACAGCAAGAAAATGTGAGTTCAGGTGTTCCTAGAATACTTCAACGCCAGCCGCACCTGCTCTGTGTACTTGTGATCTACACATTTTCCCGGACGAGGTTCTGACTGAAGCATGGATACTGGGTGCACAAGGGGGAGCAAAGGCACAACCCACCAGATCACATACACATGGACATCTGCAACAACAAGGCTACAGTTTTACCTGATCTACTGCTTCTTATGCCTTCTAGTTTTGGATCATTTTAAATAATTTACAGTATCAAACTAGAATCTTTGATTTTGATTTTTGAAGAGCAGAATCTTTTTTTAAAAAAAGAACTCTTATTCATAGCTATTTTAGCATTGCTTGTTACTGTCCATCGGCAACATGCTGAAGGACAGTGGTATGTTCAGTGTATTTCGCTGCAACAAGAGATGCGAAGTCTGCACTTCCTGTGTACACCTACCTCCCTTTGTATTTGAAAAGCTGGCAGGAGTGGGACAACAGAATGGAAACAAGCTTTAGCCACCCAGCCTTGATTTAGGATCAGCTGGGCTTGGTGAAAGTAAAGATCCTGCTAGCTGAAAATGGTTCATTCTTCTTTAAGAACTGATAAGTCAAAAGAATAGGCATGGGAAGAACAAGAAAGGTGGAGTGATTGAGTCAGTCTTCCTTGTCAAAAGAACAATCTCTAAGGAAGCAAAAGATGTTATAAGCTGCCTTCAGCTTGTGGAACTGAACAGAGATAGTCAAGTATTCACATCAGCCACAATGCAATCTTAGGCATATCTATTCCAGAGCAAGTCAGATTGAATTCAGTGAGATATACTACCAAGAAAGAGAGGACAACACACAGAGAGAGATAGGATTGCATTAAAATTTACAGAACAATTCTCAACTTTTTCTACAGTATATGTCACCCGCTATTTATAGATAATTGTTTTATATAACAGGATTATATTAAAATAAGGTTTACCCATACATTTCAGGCAAATTTTAATTGTTTCAGGTAATTAAGATGTAAGGAGTCAAAGCCAGGTAAGAAAGATCCCATAGGTAGCAATACTTTGTCAGTTTCCCTGTAGTTTGTACAAGTGATCATAAGTCTAATTCACATACTGTGACCTCAAATTCGGAAGATTAAGCAGACATAGCAAGCAAGCAAAGATCCCTTTGAGCTAGACAGTACAGGTTGTAAAGGAACAATGCAAAGCTAGACATGGCTACCCAGAAGGAAGCCAAAATGAATTCAGCTGAGACTTACTTTAAGACAAGTAGGGAATAGCCTGATGCTGCAATCCTACAAGCACTTGCATGGCAGTAAGTCCCACTTAACAGTGACACTTTCTGAGTGAGCAAGGAATGTTTTCATTTATATGCTATTAAATTAGGTCTTTCTCCTTCCCCTCCCCGAGAAAGAACTTTAAAGTTATTGGAATAAAGTGCTGTTCCTTTAAATATGGCATTCGGGAACTCACTCCTTGCCCGGTCTGAAATGAATTACTGAAGATGCTGACAAAAATTTTAATGCAATGGAATCACTGAATCTAGAAGGGGAGTAGACATAATCTAAGTTTTTAAATTTCAAAATGCTTCATAAATTTTCAACTTTTTCTATGGCAGCACGATGTGGACTTTGCTAAACGACAGTCTCTTATTTTATAATTATTCCTATTATTATTTCCAGAACCCTAGTTCATTTGGGTGTCCAGGGAAGATCCTCCTTAAGATCACTGCCTAAGAAGTGCACTTAAGCAGGATGACTGAACATTGCTGTAAGAGATCAGCATCCAATTAAGCGAGGCACGCGGGAGAGCGCGGTGGGAGGAGACAGAAGCAGGCACAGATCACTGACCTTCTCTAACGAGGAGGAAAGAACTGCCTTCTCCTAAAGGAGCACGCGAAGGCGCAGGACATGCCCTGGAGGAAAGACCCAGAAGCGCCAGCGCTCCGATGCGCACGTTTGTACTCACTCATCGCGTCCTCCTTCCCATCTGATCAGCAGTATTTCCCTCGGGGAAAAGTAGTTCCTGTGCCTGGAGTCGAGCAGCGGCTCGCTTTCTCTGCTCCTGCTGGAGGCCTCCTCGCAGCCCAAGCCGGCGAGAGAAGGGCGCGCACGCCAGTCCCCGCGGGGCGAGGAACCATCCGCGGAGGGAGCCCTCCTCTCTCCTGGACAAGGCGCCGCGCTCCGGCCCAGGCAGCACGTACGCCAGTCCCCACGACCCCCGCGCAGTCGGTCAGCTCAGCAAACGCCGCTAGAGCCACCCCCACCTCCGGCTGCACACGACGCGTCCTCGGCCTTTTCCACGCCGGGACACGTGCAGCACGAGAGGCGGCGGGGGGGGGGCAATCCTTGAGACACGGTCCTACCTACTCTCTAGGAAGTCCCGCCAGGCATTTCGATAGCGGCTGTCCCTCCGCAGAGCCGGGGCCATACAGAGCAACGCTTACTCAGAAGTAAACCCTTGCGTTCCATGGGGCTTACTTCCATGTGAAGCCGCGCACGGCCAGCGTTCCTGGCCCCTGGGGTGAACGGGGGCTGAAAGGGAGGGCTCCGGGCTAAGGAAGCCCGTGGTTTTTGAATGCTCATTTTCAGAAAACCTGCTTTAACATCACAGAATTCAGCAGAAGCACGACAGAGGAAAACAGATCCACGGACACTCACTGTGCCTCTCTTCCCCACTCCTTTGTTCAAGGCTAGCTGCACCCATCCTTGCAGAGATATATATAGGCCATCCGCTTTACTAAAGGAACTCTGCTTGCCCAGAAGTCCTCTCCCGGGTCCCTTCCAAGGGGTTGCTACCATTACGGGGGAGAGGAGTAGCACTCTTTATATGCTTTATAGCACTCTCCTCCTTAGTCAAGTTGCAAGGCAGGGTAGGTTTTCCCATCTACAGACGAGAAAGCCATCATTTATCGGCGGTAAGAGCATTCCTGATGCCTGGAAACATCCATGGCCAGACTTACCTTGTGAGGCCTGTGTTTCTCGTGAACGTGAAGAACGTGGATCCTCAGTCGGTCTCGTTTTTCAAAAGAGCGGTTGCAGAGATGGCAGGGGAATTTCCGATCACCTTGGTCCACACACCGTGTGTATTTCAGGTGCTTGTCCCGGTAATATTTGTAGGCAAACACCTTTCCACAGCGCTCACATTTGTAACCTTCCACAGATTCTGCAGGAGTGAGAGGAAAGCCAGCATCACATTGAATTTCCTTAAGATTACTTCCTGGGAAGAGGTAGCCAAAGGCAAACAGCCCTTCATTCACTGTGTTGCTTTCAGTAGAAAGGATAATACAATCCAGATTTTAGAACAGCATCTTCATGATATTTAAACTGAAAGTCAAGTATTTTTTGTTCACATCTGTCTCTTCCTGGATGTGCTGTATCACTCATTCTGGCCTTCTACCATTCATATTATATGTATTTATTTAATTATGTATATTATGATTTTATCTTGTTTTATTTCATCATGTTAAATTTTGATGGTTTTATCCAAAATGGGTAGCTTTCAAACAAATTGAACAAATAAAATAATTTCATTCACAAGTATTCCCTTAATTCTAGATCTTGAAAAAAATTTTATAGTCAAAATCCAAGCTGCTTTTCACATTATTAATATCTACACAAATGTGAGAGTTGGGATGGAAAATGAGTTAAGCAAATCATGTTTAGGCAGAAAAAAGGACATACAATTTTCAGGATTCCCCAGCCTTTTCTCTGTCTAAACATATGTAGGATGCACCCTGAAGCCACAAATTAGCAGAAAATGCAGGCCATGAAAAACAGAGCTTCTGAATAACTTCTGAGCAACATTGTACTGGTAATATCTGAACTTTCTGCACACTTCTCACCTGCCACTCTTATATGATTTTTGTGAATAAGAATACATTGTACTTTCTAAAGTCTACTTAAAGTGTTAAGTATTCTGAGAGCAATTGCATATTTAGAAGAATCCTCTGGGACAGATCAGACAGGAAGCCCAATAAAAATAACTTTTAAGACAAATCCCTTACCACCACCATAGGCCACCTAAAGAAAGTCCATGGAACATTTGCTCATTAAAAGTATGTCCCTTGTTTCACATAAAGTAGACACAATCATGCAATAAAATTAGAAGACAAGACTAAATCAACTGCCACCACATAAAGCACCTAGTAAGAGGCAAGAGGCAGCAGCATGGTCAGCAAGTAGTAATAAAAAAGGTACCTGCAATGGACGCTGCCCTGGGGGAGTGTTGTATGGACCTTGAGTCAGACATGCAGAGAGGAGAGAGCCTTTGGGCAAGACCATTCACATTTTTCACACCTTTAACAATAAAGCACCCCCAAGCAAGTTCTATGGTGGTTACCCAGAAGTAAAGGGACACAGGATTAAGGTGCTACCTGCAAGAGCCACAGCAACTTTGCAGGCACTGACACACCAGGTGGTCCTTGTTGTGTTTTAAAAAATTTAAAGGCCTGCAGCCATGTTAATTAGGACAGAGAAAAGACTGGGTGGAGCTTTGCCAGCTGTTACTGAATTAAAGCTGCCAGGCCACTGGTTTTAAGATACCAGTTTGTTTGTTTTTGCATGAGAGATTCAGGAGATTTGGAGATAAATTAAATTTGAGACCCATGCTGTTGTGACTGGGAGAGAGTGCAGCCTCACAATCCTAAACTCCAAAGCAACCCCAGCGAGCTGGGGATGGGTGATTTCTGCTCCTGTGCTGCCACTTGCAGACCAGACCAAGGTGACATCTCCTCCCCCACCAGCACTGGGCAGGGGCAGACAGCTGCAAACTGACCTTCGCTGCTCTGTTGCACTCGCCTCCCATCCGCTGTTCCTTTCAGGCTGATGGGAATACCCAGGAACTGCAAGTAGCAATCGCCATACCAGACCAGCATCTCTTGACCAGGCACAATTTCTTTGCAGCTCTCATAGTAGATCTGGCCCTGACACTGAAGGGCTGTCAAGTTCTGCTCCTCAGGAAAGCGAGCGCAGTTCACCAAGGACATCCAGTTGCCAGAGGAGCCCTTGCCATCGATGAAATGACTCAAGTGGCCATCCTCAAAAATCTGCAAGGGACACATGAAAGATGCACCTGCTTGATTCTCACCCTCCCCAGTCAGCATGGGAAATCGCATGCACACTTGGTTTGGAGTGAGGCTTCTTTCCAAATAAAGCAGTCTAGGATCGTGCTATTAGCTTGGCGGTCTGTTTTGTCATGCTCTAGGAAGAAAACTGTCTGGGATGAAGCTTGTTCCTCCAACATTTAAGGCCTACACAATTCTGCACAACCTGGTGGTTTAGTTTTCCCCAGGGGTCAGAGGGAAGGAAAGCTGTCCAATGGGATTTTCTCTTCATATGAGAAAAGCTGGGAAGGCATGAGACCTCATTACAGGCAGAGGTCAGAATGCTCCCAAGAGAAAGATTTGTCATCAAGACTTGATGCAGATCCCCCCCAGGAGTACCCCTCTCCCCAGATCACTTGAGATGGCTTCGGGTGCAATCCTATGCACATTCAGACAGAAAAAAGTACTACGGCTTTCTGTCTAGGTGAGAAAAAAGTGAGAACAGTGCTCAGTTTCTCCAAAGGCTGACATCTTGGGTACCTTTACTTGGGAGTAAGGCCCCTTGCAAAGCAGCAGAACTGACTTCCAAGTAAGCTCAGGGAACAGCAGGGTATCAGAGGGGTCATGTTTAATGTTATTCCTGCTTAGAGCTTAGTGTTAAGCAGGTGCATTGAAATGGATGGGACTGAAGTAGGCAGGACACAAGCGCCCCATTTTCTCCACTCCAGTACACAGCCGGGGTTTCCCTGCTGCCTGCCATCCCACAAGACCTGCCCTTCTGGTCTAGAGGACGGAAGCACCAGCAGTGGAGATTCCTAACGGCCTTAAGGCAGGAGCAGTGAACTTCAGTACCTCCCACATCAGGGAATTGTCATCGTAAGTCTTGATTTCACTGGTGTTGACAACTTTGCCCTGAAAAGGGCCAAAACGGACCCCCTTTGGGATGGTCTCGGTGCTGAAGACTCCCAGCTGTGGACCATCCACATGTATGGTCTGCAACACTGTCAGCCCTGCGAAGGGGAAGCAATCAATTGGAGAAAGAGCATTCCTTCAGTCTGGGAAGGATGTTGGAGAGGATCAGCCAATTTCCCTGCCCCAAGAACAAAAATGCCTCTACCTTCAGGGAGTTGTAGAGATGGTCTGTCCAACAGCGGGGGCTGAGCATCAACAGCTCCTAAAGGGAAACAATAGGGCCATCCTATACATGTGTACTTGGAGGCAAGTCCCACTGAGTTAAGTGGGGCTTTTTCCTAGAGAGATGGAGATAGGGTTACAGCAAGAGCAGCGAGAAAAGGGAGTGCATATAAGCAACACAGGACAATCCATGCGAAATAAACCCACTACTGTGCCCATCTTCTGTGTTCACAACTGCTTGCGCAAGGTTTGAAACAGTTCCTATAGTCTGCACATGATCTTGCCTGTCCACAGTTCAAACACCACGAACTATGAGCAGGAAAGGAATGGTGGGAGTGAATTAAAGCATGTTTCCTGCATCTGGCAAATGGGTTGGCCACTTGTGCTGCATCACCAGGTCTTTCTGCAAGGGGCACCATTCTGAATTGTGTATAAGGGGGCAGAGAATAAAGGTCATCGAGAGGGCAATGCATGTGGATAGACCCACTCAACATGTTTCATTTTACTTAAAATGTTCTTAATCAATTAGTTGAAATTGAACATCAATAAGGCTTAAAAATACACCTTCTCAAAACACACTTTAAGACTTAATGTGCAACCCAATGCAAGTTTAGACAGACGACAGGCCTACAACTCTCAACTTGCAGCAAACATTCATGGGGCAGTACCTTTACTTAAGTAGTAATGACAAATTAATGGCCCAAAGCAGCTACCAGCTTGGAGAGAGGTAGGCAAATTGGTTCCATAGTGCAACCAATAGGCACTATTCCCTTACGCTTGAATAGCTGCACACAGGTCTACCCAGGCTTTTAAAATTCACATTTTTAATTTACCTATACTTGATATATTGATTCCTTCCACCAATTGATAGATTGAACTACACAAGTTCTTCCTTTTCGACCACTTTTCTCCCCCCACGCCCCACTTTTCATCATTCACGCTGGATAAGAGTTCTGTGCTGCTCTAAGGCTTACTATATTTCTCCAGGATTTGGTCCCGCTATCATGAAATCGTTGTGGGTTTTGGTTTTCTAAGTTTATCACCTGCTTTGGTTAGATTGCTGCGTTAATGCTGGGAGGCCCGGGACGGGAGGAGGGTGGCGTCCATTCGGTCCCCAGTAGAACAACGCAGGTAACCCCAGAATCACTGACGGTGTCAGCGCAAGGGACCCGCTCGGCATTTCCGCGAAGAGACGGGCGATCACAGCCTCACCCGCGACCCGCCTCGCAACCATTCGCCGTCACGGACTTCCAGACCGTCCAGGAGGGGCGGCTGCGAATGTGAAGCCCGCCGCGTCCCGCGGGGTGAGCCCGGGCAAACGCGCGCAGCGGCGCAGCGGAGTTCGCGAGAAGGCGCACGGGGACTCCGGGAGCCACGCCACCGTCTCGCAGCCGCCTTCTGCAGAAGAGGCCCCTGACTCGGGGGGCAAGCTAACGCTCCCAAAGGCCAGGTGCGCGGGGCGGGAAGACCAACGCGCTCAGGCGCCCCCCCCCCCCCCGCCTCGCCGGCTCCCCTCCTTACCGGGGCTGCGCGGGGAGCGCCCAGCTCCCGCAAGGACGCGCTGCTGCCTCCCACCGGGGACCGCCCCGTACAGGACGGCGTGGAGCTCTTGGGCTGTGAAGCGATAGGCGGGCGGGCGCTGCTCGGCGTCGGCAGTTCCGTCGGGGCTCCCTTTCCTGGGCGAGGCCCGCTCGGGCAGCTGCCGCCGCGGCGAGTCCCGCTTCGCTGCGAAGGGCGCGGCGAGGAGCGGCGTGGGGCGGGGCAGGGGCGGCGGCGCCTCACCAAAGGCAACGGGCAGTCGTGGGAAAGGGAAAGGCGCCAGCGGAGCGGACCCGGGGCTGAGCCTGCCTGCCGCCGCCGCCGTCGGGGCCGGGAAGGCTCCTGCCGCGGGAAAGGCCTCTAGGAAGTACCGCGGGGGCGGCATCGGCCTGGGAAAAGGAGCGCCCCCCGCCGAGCCGCTCCTGAGCAGCAGCAGCAGAGACTCGCTGCCGCGCGGGTCCTTGGAAAGGGTGCCCGCTGCCAGCGAAGAGGCCATCGCCGTCCAAGCTCCAAGGCCCTAGGAGAAAGCAGCACAGATAAGCGGCTCGCGCGCCTCCCTCCGCGCCGCAGCGGCCGCGCAGCCCCCGAGCCCGGGGTCCGGCTGCAGAGACGCCCGCCCCTGCCCGGGCCCCCGCGGCCGAGCGCTTCTTCCGGCGGTCCGACCGGCTCCCAGGGGAGCCGCAGAGGCTGCGCTCCCGTCCGCGCGCTGCGCTTATATACCGGAGGCGATCCCGGGCCCAAGTGGTTCTGCGAACTTTCTGTAGCCCGCGGCCATCGTGGCCCTGCTTTCGCATGAGCTTTCGGTAGCCCGCTCCCCCAGGCGAGCGCGGGCTGCGGGAAAGGGCCACTGGCAGGTTCCGCCGCGGCCTTGCTCGAACCGAGGGCGCCAGCTGCAATCTGCCAAGGGAAAGCCGCACTCTGGGCCACTTACCTGGGAGCAAGTCCCACCGAACTCGAGGCGAGGCGACTGGCTTCGGAGAAGGCTGTGTGCGGTTCCCAGTGTCAGCACGCGGTCCTGGCCGCACTCGCCTGCGAGTAAGCGCCAGAGGGAGCGGGCAGAGCTGCCTTTGCTTTATTTAGGCTGTACATTTCTTTTCGTTCGTTTATGTGAATCGTTCTTCCTGGGACCTGTTTTAAGATTGCAGTGTTAAGACGCAATCTTGCAGGTGTCTTCTTAAAAGTCAGTCACACTGACCTTAACAGGCCTGAATCTCAATTAAGTGGATACAGGATTGTAGCCTCAGTTCCTCTTCGGTGTCCCCCGCCCCCCCGTCCTTGTCGCGAGTACTTTCTCATGCTCCTCCGCACCCTTCCCTGTTGCCAACAGAATCTGGAGCAGGCAGTTTTCTTTACACAAACAAGGGCCCGCTTAAGGACTACCAGAGGCTAAGAGTGCAATCCTATGCATCTTTACACAGACCCACCACCACACAACTCTGCTTTTTTGTCTAGACCTACATGCGACTGCAGCTTAAGCGTGCAGTAAGTAAACCCGGAGCACACACTGGGACTTACTTCTGAGTCGAGATGCACGGGGTTGCCTACACTTCCTGGGTCAAAAGCCCCACTGCGCTATATGTAAGCAGGCTGAGGTTGTAAGTGTGCAATCCCATGCACACCGATTTAGGACCACGTTCCATTGAACTCGGTTGGATTTACTTCTGAGTAAACGTGTAGGGGATGGCTTGAGAGAGCCGTGAAGCACACATGAACCTGCCGTCGCACAACTTCATTAACTACCCACAAGCAAGCCACGCTGTGCTCCTCTGAACCTCCTTTCCAGCGGGGGTAGAGAGCGCTGCAGCCTTATGTCTTAAAGGCCGCCTGCTCCCGCTCTTAAGCGGGCTGCAGACCCTCAACCTGGTGCCCTTCGGATGTCCTGGACATCGCTCCCAGCGGGCTGCCATTGGCCAAGCTGGCCAGAGCGAATGGGAGTCGAAGTCTGACATCCGGAGGGAACCTCTGCAAGCTCTAAAGCGCTTCGGATGAGACGGCCTCGAGGTTTGCTTCGCTCGGAAGGATTTTCTGCGGTAAAGCAAAAGACGGAAGAAGAGGCGGAATTACAGGAGAAGATTACATGAGGCAGGACGATGGCACGAGAAAAGCCGTGTGTGGAAGCCCCCAGAGCAGCTGCACCAGGCCTTCGAACTGCGTCCCGGGAGAGGACGCCTCCTCCCGAGAGCTCGCACCCGTGCTAGACGGCATCTTGGCGGCAGCCTCGGCGAAGCTTGCCAGGTGCCGGCCAGAAGCCTGCCTCATGCGCCCGGCCATCCTCTGTCCCGTCTCACCCTCCGAGGCAGGCAAGCCAAAGGAAGGCCCGTGAGCTTCCCGCTGCCCCGCTTTGCTTGACAAAAACCGGCCCCGACCTTTCGCGGGCAGGATACCTGCGCGGGCCGCGGAGCAGTGGGAGAGGGAGCATCTGGTGCCCAGAGGTCCGCGGTGCCTCGCACTCACTGCGGGATGGACAGACTCTTCCCCGGCCCGTCCAGGAGCCCAAGCCCGCAATAGCGCGGTGGACCCTTCCGTCGCACTAGCAGGGGCGGCATCTGCGGCTCAGATTTGGGAAGGCGAGCATCTCCTTCGCCGGCGTTCGGGTCTTTCCCTTCCTCCTAGTCAGCGCCAGGCTCTGCCCGGCTGAAAGCGCCTGAGGGAGGCCGGATCGCCGGGGAAGTTTGGCCACGGCTGCCGCAGCTACTCACTTGGGCAGAGCGACTCAACCTGCCGCCGTCGCTTTGCCCGCTCCGCGGAAGATCGCGAAGAGTCTTCTTGGCTGTCGCGATCTGCTGGAAGTAATTAGAAGTAGCCACGTGTCTTGTGGGCAGATGGTGCTCAACGAGACGCCGTGGGAGGACCGCGGGCGGGGTGCGTGGGGGGGTCAAGCGCGCCACTTATCCCCCGCCACGCGCGCGCCTCGGCGGCAGCAACTATTGGTCCAAAAGTGGCTTTCATGAAGGAAGGCGGGGGCGCATTTGCTTCCTGGCTGATCAGGAGTGACTACCTACCTCTTCGTCTCCCGAGGGATGGGCGTGCCAGTCTGTTGCGGGAAAACCAAACGGGGCAGCAGAGCAACTCCGGCATAAGCTTTGATGGATGCAGCTCACTTCAGTGGGCAGAAGCCACCAAAGCTTATGCCAGAAAAAACCAGTCGGTTTTAAGGTGCCTCAAGAAGCGAAGGACGCACAACCAGGAGCCCCTTAGCAGCCACACCAGGCGCTCGGTCAGCCGGGAGCCTTCCTTCCTAACCGGCGAGCGCAAGTCGAAAGCGGCGCGACGCTCCTTTGAGACACCCCTTCACAGGGAGCAAGCGTCAACCGTGTCTGTCCCCCAGTCCTGTGGCTGCCGCCGTCCGCGCATCTTCCTGGAGGAAGCCCCGTGCGTTGAACCCAATGGGCTCTCCTACCCAGAGATCGTTACGCACAGCGCTGCGCTGGACGAGGCGTTTTCCGGACCGAGCGGGACCTGCGGAGAAGCTCCCAAGGAACGGCGGCGGCAGGGGAGCGAAACCTCCGTCCGCCAGAGAAGGCAAGGGAGAGCCGTTGGAGCGAGGAGTGAACAGAAGCACCGCGCGTTTGGCAGCCAAAGCAGGGGAGCAAAGCGATAAACATACAGGCAACCCGTAGAAGAAACACCCCCGCCCGAATAGCGCCCCTCTGAGCGCTTGCACTGCCGTCCCCCTCTGCCTCGGCCCGTAGCCGAAAGGGCTTTCCGGAGGCGGCCGAGGTCGCCTTGCGGGAGCGCCCGCGGCTCCCGGCTGCGCGGCTCCCTCCCTGGCACCGCGGGCGCGGAGCTGAGCGGCGTTCGACGTGCCCCCGCCTGGCTGCGCGCCCGCCCCGAAGGCTGTGCCCGCGATCGCTCCCTCCACGTGAACGTGCTCCCCCGAGGAAGGCGCTCCTTCCCGACGGCACTCGAGCAAACATTGCGCAAGGGTATTTTCTTTCAATCCTTGCCGTATTAGTTCTCCTCGTCATCTCTCATGTTTCCCTTAAATCACTGTTCATTCTCACTTCTGCATTTTTGAAAAAAAAATCTTCCATAGTTTGGATAGGTGTTTATTTTTATGGGAGCGATCGTTTCTGGACGGGCAACAGTCTTCAGTGTACCTCACCTGAATGAACGAAGAGCAAATGATAAATCGGTTTATTCAGAAGAGATCTCCGTGGCCGGTTCCCGAAGGCCTAAGAATTAGGTGCATTTTCCCGCATTTGAAGACCCTGCGAGAATTCTTCGATGTCAATTATGTCTGGGAGATGCCTCGTCAATTTCATTTACACTCATTTCTAGTCTCAGATGAAAGTGACAAAGAGGAGACTGTGTTAGTTTTAACCAAAATGCCGATTTCTCCTAACGTTCTCACGCCTCCAGTGAATCTGACAAGGTGAGGAAACCCTTGTTAATGTCTGTGACCTCGGTTATAACCGCCTCTTTGAAGGAAAAGGAAAAAGAAAAGGAAGGAGAGCCAAGAGACGAGGCTCTTTCTCGATTGTATCATTTTCACCAAAGGTTGGAACATGCAAGAAAATGCCTCTTCTTTGGTGCACACAGTCATGGGGAATAGAGGAAGAAGGCCAAAGGCAAGGCTGGGCTGGGCAGAAGGTGGATGGGAACCTCCTGAGAGACCAGGCAGGATTTCTGACTCCCACTTGATTAACAAAAGCTGTGGCAGAATGACTCTGAATTATGCTGCTGAAGTGAAGAAACCTGGTTGAGGGGCCGGATCAGGAACTGATTTTTGCGTGGAAGGCTCTTTAGCTGTGCTTAGTGTGGATACTCAGACAAAGCTCAGAATGCCAGAATTCTAAACAAAATTCTGTGCTTTTTAAGCCAGGTTCTGGTTGGTGGATCCGGACTTTTAGTACAAAAATGAAGTAGATCCGACGGACTTGAAGTGTACCCCATCTTGTCTAAGGAAGCCACACCTGTTTATAAGAGGGCTACAGGAAGAAAGGGCTGCGTGTGTGTTGGGGGAGGGCAGGTTCGGCAAATTACATAACTCTACGGGGCAGGGGTAAAGAGATGCGAGCGGGGAGAGCAGACAGAACAGACAGTGGGGCGGGGGCGCAGAAAGGTTACCATTCAGTGTTAGACCCACCCACCCACCTGTATTGCTATCAATCGATGTACAAACCTGATAAAGACCCTTTAAAAGCGACATTAGTTTCACACGTGCACATCAAATGCGGCAGAATGTTCCAAAGATCCTGAGGGGACACGCGAGAAATAAAGATTGTTACAAACGGCGGCTACTATCAAAGGCAAAGACGATTTCTTTCACCCTTACCATCTCACAGCCGAGTTTTCGGGCGATTTTGTTGGAATTCGTTCTTTTATAGTGTAATATTAGAAGTAATCCCGTTGAGTTCAATGAGGTTTACTTCCGAGAAAGATCACAGAATTGTAACCTATAAAGTGAGGAAAGATACCGTGTTATGCCAAGCCGATATTCCAAGGATCTCTCCTCCTGTTAGTCCAATTTACACTTTGATCAGACTGCTTTGT